TATATAAAAAATTAAATGGGGCTAATGGGTCTATGTATAATTTTTTTTAGAAAATAAGATTAGCAAAAATAAGGGTAACAAAATATTACATGGGGCTGGAGCCCACCCTAGCCTTAGGGTGGCTCCGCCCCTGATTGTACCATTGGAGATGCTCTAAATGAACCTAAGTCTTAGATGACATGGACAAAAATATATAAAATTTACAAAATCTACTCCAATGCAAGTAGACTAGATCTCTACTTGGGTCTAAAATGGACTTAAGGTTAGACCGAGTCTATTTTTATTGCTGCTAAATCAGCAAGACCTAGTCCCCTTACACTTGCATTGGAGAATATATTTTTTTTTGGACCGAGTCTATTTCCGATGTGGCATTCAAATTTTTTTGATTGAACTTAAAGCATGGTGGATGCTCTAATGTTTCTAGTGGTAGGTCCCACTAATTGCTTGGTTTGAATTAAATGCCCAAAATCCTTAATTATTGGTCAAATACACATATTTGACCACATTTTTACTGAATCATAACCATTGATGTAGGGTATCCAATGATCTAGATTTATTCTCATTTTTTTTCCCTAGGTACCATTCTCATGTGATCCCAACTATATATATATATATATATATATATATATATATATATAATATTCCGAAAATGATATATAGACATATATATATGTGTGTGTGTGCGTGTGTCGAGTTCAGAAAAGTCAGGATCAGTGACCCTTAAAGTTTGTGGCTCGAGGACATAACTAGAGTTGCAAACGAACCGAGCGGCTCGCAACCCGCTCATGAACGCTCGACTCGAGCTCGAGTTTGACTGAACTCGAGTCAAGCTTGAGAGGCTCAAGCACGAACTCGAGTCGAGCCAAAAAAAGAAAAAACCAATCATGCTCAATAAAGTCAATGCTCGACTCAACTCAGCTAACAGAATAAACTGAATTCCATACAAGACAATCAGCAAAGAGCCAATACCGTATATGAAACTAACAGAAATTGAGAAAATACACACAAGTGTCCAAATTGCAACATGCCTCGCTCGAAATTCTCTTCCCATCTATTAATATATAATAAAGATTAACATAATTCACTTTTAGAAACACTTTCCCGCCAATTTCATTAATTATTGACTAAAAATAGTAAATTAACAAAAATCAATGTAATTAATGTACATAATCTTTTTAGTCAAATATTTATGGTTATTACCTTTATTAGTTGAATTTAAATTTAGGATGATTTAGTTTTATGGAAACAAATATGAGGCTATTATAGAAACTATCAAAATCCTTAGTTTAAATATATAGACTTGATTGAGCAATTATAGAGAATTAATCGTTAATCTTTATATTTTTATTATATTTCATGTATTGAGTAAAACATAATAAATTAATACTTATGTTATTTTTCATACATTTTTTTGTTGGCATAGTAGAGTTGCAAGATTATCTTTTTCTTCGTAGACAAGATAACCAAATATAAAAATATAAATAACATTTATGTGCCGCTAAAAAAAATATTTTGGACAAAATGTAGAAATGACTTTTAGAAAATACTTAATTAATTTATGATATAAAGTTGACAAAACTAATAAATCCAATTTTGATATAAAGCTGATGATTTTATTTTAAGTATCTGATAGCCATTTTTATTTTTTCATAGAAAATGTGTTGTTAATAATAAATGTCCAATTTTGTGGTATAAAGTGGGTGTTTTATTTTTGGTACGAAATGTTCGAATTTAAATAGTATGAATTTTATAAGGAATGAATAGAAGTATATTTGAAATTATTTAAAACAAAATAAGAGTATTTACAATGCATAGATGTTGTTATCACATAAATTTTGACAAATGTCAATTTTATATGGATTGTGAACCACATAAGATATTTGTTAAGTTCACAAAATTATCTGCGTGCACAAAGTGATCAAACATAATATTGTCAATTGGCAACAATAAAAATAAAATATAAATAAGAAAAAAAAAATAATAATTAGATATTTTTAAAAAGATATTCCATAATATTTGATTAACACTAAATCCTGCTATTCGGAATCAATTATATTTAAATGCAGTATTATTATAAAACCAAATGTTATGGAATATCTTCTTAAAAACAGTATAATTATGATATCAAGATATTTAACCACGATTCAATCTTTTTAATTCAATCCATATCTCTTTTTAGACTTATCAATTCATTTTTAATATAATATAAATTTACCGTAAAAATGAGAGTTGGACTTTACAATAATCATGGTATCAATATTAACAATATAAATGCTAAATAAAATTTAATTATTTGGACTGTGCACTTTATTATATACATATAAATAAATCGCCTATTTGAACTTTAAATATTTTATTTTTTTCATATATAGTTATGCAATATATGCAACTTAACTAAAAATAGAAAATATTCTAAAGATTTCATTTCAATCATGGTAACATGTTTTTTAAAATTGCCACAATTTTCGATTCACTAATCCACTACTCATGTAAACATCTTTTTGTTACAATATACGATTTTCTTTTTATCATTTTGAATCATTTTCTAATCATTTTTTTATGAAACATATTTTTCATTGAAAAACCGTGATTTACATGTCCTCTGATTCATTTAGTTATTTTTTATCTACAAATGATAAAATATCGTTGTTGTTTTTTTTAAACGTAATTATTTTTAAAAATATGTTTTACAAAAGATACAACCAAAATTCCAAATCTCTGTTAAAACATAACAAAACAAAATCGTTCTCAATTTTTGGAATGAATTTGGCATAAAAAATGAGAATGATTGACCCAAAAAAAAAAATATACTCAAAATCCATACTTTAATTTTAAGGTAACAATTTTTCTTATACTCGATATAAAATTAAATTTCACCAGATAATTGCATCTTTAGTATCTATCACAATATTACATATTTTCACTATAGTTTTATTTCATGGTGATAACATTCCGATAATTAACAAAAAAAATGAAGGAATGAGATATCTATGCAATTCACAATTACCAAGTGGAGAGCAATCTTGGTAAATATCGATTTACGGTTACCAAGTGAAAAATAATTTTGCATGGAAAAACAAAGAGTTTTTTAATAATGTATGCATTTTTCATGATGATCATTTTACGATTACCTAACAAATGTTCTATGTATTATAACTTATTGATTAATAGCCTTCAATTATAAAATTTACCAAAATAAATACAGTCCGTGCATCGCACGGGGTACGTACTAGTCTTCCAAAAATCCGCAAAATATATTTAAAAAAAA